AGGCTGGATGCCCACCTAGCTGGACTCGTTTGAGTCCCATTTCTCTTTTTGGGGTTTTTGTTGTTCTCCCGCCCTGGCGGGGGGTCGGGCTAGAAGATCTACTAGGTCCCTTCCGACCCTTAATCTATGAATCTATGAATCTATGATGCTCTTTTCCAAAAGAGTATCTGACATGCCAATTTCCTAACTTCTAGGCGTGCACCAGTAAAGATTTTTTGGGCTGATACTGATGGCCAATTTATTGACCAGCCATATTGGCCGATATTTATCCGATTGCCGATATGCAGCCCAGCAGTTTGGAGAGCGCCGTCTGGCTGGTAAGTCTGTTGTGGGCAAGGGGCAAGTGGGGGCAGATCAAGGCCCCCATGGTGAGGAAGGGAGTAAAGCTGGGGCAGGAGCAGGCGCTGCCTAGGCGCAGCAGGGCGGGGCTCAGAATGGAGCCGCAGGTGGCTCATCTGGAGGGCGGGTGAGCTAGGGCTGTGCTCGGAGTGGGCAGCAGCAGTGCTGGGAGGCAGGGTTGTGGGCTGGGCTAAAGCTACCCCAAAATTTGCCAAAGCCCCCCCCTCCCAGCATCACCGCCTTCTGCCCTGTCCACCCCAAGTGCAGCCCCCACCAAAGCCCCTGCCGGAAAGAGGCTGGTGCAGCCCCTGGCCCCAACCATTCAGTAGGCAGCCCTTTGTCACCCTGTGCACAGATCTGTGGGGCACATGCCCCCATGCCTCCCCCAGGGTGTGCACAGTGGTGGGAGCTGCCTCCCTCCCTCCCTCCACCCCCCTGCACTCCCTGGATGAGCCACTTGTGGCTCCATCCCATGCCCCGCCTGGCTAGGCAGAACCTACTCCAGTCTCTCCTTCCCTCACTGTGAGGGCCTCAGTCTGTGCCATCCACACCCCTTCTCCCCCCACCCCCCATTTTACATGCTGCCCTCTGCTCTTCAAACTGCCAATTAACTCCTCCTAGTGAGCTTTGGAGTGAGTTGCATATTTGAAGGAGAGAAGAGGTGTATTTTTGTTCTTGCATTTTGGTCAGCAGTTGCACTTGGAATTTCT